GCACTTACACACATGCAGGCAATATACTCATACAAATAAAATAAAAATAATTTTTTTTTGAAAAAAAGAAAAGTTTGCATAAAAACTGCCACCTTATCATGGCAGCAGACTCATACATGGCGTGTTTATTGTGTCTCAACCACATTAGGAAAACACATGGAAAAACTGACCTACACCATTTAGGCTTGATTAAAAATATACCTTGACATTCTCACAATGACACAATCACAGAGAATGTCTTTCTCGGAGGGTGCTCCCATGTTAAAGAATGAATGTTGTTAGCAATGAGAGTAAAGAAAACAGGAAGTAAAACATTAGCAAAGTGAACTTGGAAAATTTCAAAGTGCAGCAGCTTCTACGGTGTTGTTTACAAAGCTCTTCTCTAGGATTACTTTCTTGACTTGGCCTTATTATAAGCCTGTTTTTACAGCCAAGACAATTAAATCACCTTTGATGAGATGAAGGGAGATTTTTAAAACTTTTTTTATCTTCATGTGCCCTACAGAAGGAACACTGAGAATACAATATTATCACACAGTGCTTTTACCAAAATGTATACGCTCACTCAAGACATGATAAATTGTTGATAAACTGAACCAGACTGTGCTCTTCAAAACCACCACCCGCAGGAGAGATAGGGAAAGGATGAAGAGACACTCCAGTCGGTACCTATGAGCACAGAAGTCCCTCTCTGTAGTAGAGGACACAAATGAATGCCATGTGTAATCCTGGACTACGGTGGAGGGAGGGAGGTTACTACAGTGGATATCACTGGGACAACTGATAGAACCTAAATACTGACTTGCATCACACAGCATACCAATACTAAATGTCTGGGAGTTAATGATTACATCATGGTTAATGTAAGAGGATAAACATCCCTGCTATTAGGAGACACACAGTAAAATATTTGGGGGGGCAAAGAATCAAGGTGTCTATTCTCAAATTGTTTAGTACACTGAGAGTAAAGCAAATGCAAACAAATTGGTGAATCTACAAAACAGATATATACATTCCAGTTGACTTAAAAAATGGTTCTTTATAACAGAAACAGCATGATATGAATTTCAATGGTCATGTCATGAAAAATTAACATAACTTAAAAGCCACAAGTATTGAAAAAACATACCTAGAAAGCTTTAGTTTTGTGAGCTGTACCTCCATTCTATCAATTACAGGAGGACTTAGGGAGTCTTCACCAGACACCACACTGAACTGATTTTGAACTCTAATTAATCCAAGATCTACCACAACAGCACTGGTGGAAATGGAAGACTGTGGGATGACAACAACTGGTGCTTTCAAATCAATGTTGACAGAAACACGAAGACTCCTCCGGGTGAGGTCTCTCACGCTCGTGGCAGCCTTCTCTGCAGCCTGGGCAGTGGCGGCACTCAGAGCTTCTTTGGCTGCTTGAAAATTGTTCAGAAAGTTCTATGGACAAAGTATAAAAGGAGAAACTCAGACAGGAAATAGAGACATTTGTACCTAAGTCTACCTTCTGCTCATGTACATGCTAATGTCTTCTAACATAATTTTGAGATGAGCCCTGTCTTTCTAGTGTTAGGAGGAATCACAGGCAATCCATTCATAGTTAGGAGCTGCCCAACTAGGGCAAGTCTTCTGCCACAAAGGGGCCAGGGCTCTGAACACATTCAATCCTAGACAAGACATTCAATGGCTCAGATTTCAAGTGTTAAAAAGGGCTTTTGACCTCTACATTCACACATTAATACCACGCATAATCAAAACAATGACCACTTAAATCCCAAGTTTGCAACATTTATAATAATCATAACATTTATTTGTTTCTAGGTTGAAATTGAATAGTGATTTTTACCAAAAGTGACATAAGGAATTTATGAAGGTAGACAATCTGAATACAGCCAACATTCAATGACACCACACCATCCACTTTGGACATGTCAGTATAAGAATCTCCTGAAGTAGCATCTGGATACAAATCCAAATTGAAACGAAAAACTTCATTTCCCACTATGGATACAGCCTGAAAAACAGAGATGTAAATGTAGTCTACCCAGGAAAACAATGGCAAAATAAATTTCCAGTTAGAAAAGGCTTGTATTCATAATCTTTATAGAAATACATTTCATTTCTGAGGTATATTTTAAATAGACTCTCAAATGCAACAATAAAAAAAAGAGTAACTATTCAATCTTACATACTTTTTTATGAACTGTTTTAGGATCAACATCTGTGACAATAATATTTTCCAGCCTGGCAAAAAGAGACTGCTTTTTTGACTGAAGAGAGAAGGAAGAATCGAGGCCTGAAAAAGAGTCACATTATTTCTGTAAGTGTAACATAAAATTTTTATTGTATTATATTATTTGGGTATAAACTACATATTAGCAAATTTTATTCTAGATGTTTTTAGTTTTATAAACACTAAACCTACAAATTGATTAAAATATAACTATATGAATTTTAACCCTTTCATTTATCTCTGTGGAGATAAACTTCTAGTATAAAGAGACCAACTCAGAATAAGTAGGCAGAAAGCCAACAGTGAATCTTTTGCACCCTGTATCTGGCCATGTACATGGAAGCTATGAAAGTTTCATCAACTGTTCAGGTTGGTGGGTGTAGCACCAGTTGGAAAAGACAGAAAGAAAACATAGCTTTCTGATTTGTAAGTTCTTAAGGAATTTCACTAAACATATTATCCCTACCAAATTATAAGGTGATAAAGACAGAGCAGAGAAAAGCTAGCTGTTTAGCAGCTTAACAGTGTGCTCATGGACATTCACTGTTACAAGCTGTTTCAGGGCTAGGATGCAGCTCAAGGACAGGACTCAGGCCTGCGTGCTTAAGGTTCTAGGTTAGATCCCTAGCACCACAAAAAATAAATAAATAAAAATAAAAAATAAAAAGAGCTGCTTTACCTAAAGGATTAATGAGTAAAGATGAATATAGCTATATAGATAAAATATGAATAAAGATAAATAAAGATCAAGCATATTTGGAGACCTTCACCGAAGCTCTGTGCTGACACTTCTCAGCCCAGCAGCAGTGGTCTGACACTTGTGCCCCTTCCACCTCATGGGCAACTCTGAAAGGTCCACAGCACCAGCATGTAAATAGTTCAATTTGATGGCCAGTATCTGACCAACATCTCTCTACATTCTAGAAATAAGCATTCAGTTCAACTGCTCCCTGTCAGCTGTTTGCTGTTTAGAGCCCTGTTCTTCTCTAACATTGCAGAGAAAGAGAAGGGGGGAGTGAGGGAAAAGGAGGGAAGAAAATGTTTAGTTTTAAACAAATGCTAAATCCTTAAAAGAATTTTTACCTTGTATCTTGATGTCAGCAATGTTGCTCTTCTCATCACAAACAGTGACACAGAAAGAATTCAATTTGGCAAACAGCCTAAAGCCAACAATGTCACTATCTCTAGAGGATGCCATCACTAAAAATAAAACAAAGAATTCTATCACAGTAAATTCTAGTAATCTAAATTCTATACAAATTCCTTCCTCGTATTAAGTATACCACAATTTATATAATATGCAATATAAAAGCAAAAAGCAATCTTAAATAAGGATACAATTCAAAGAGGTTAGATAAAGTTCCAAAGGTCACAGCTTAGGTAGCATAGTCAGAATATGAACTGAGTTCTTTCTGATCCAAAAATTGAGACTCTTGGCCAATAACATGCTATCACTGAACCCTTGCCTTCATGTCTCTGAAATCTTTCCTCAAAGACTGACCCTCTACGGAGACTTTTCAGGAACCACTGAGACAGGGGAAGAACTCAAATGCGCGTCTTTCTCTATTAACTATCCAAAGGCAATCCCCCAGCCACCAAAAAGAAAAATTGGTATTTTCTTAAAAACAATAGTACTGATTACATTTGCCTTATGGTGTGTGTGTCTGTGTGTCTATGTATGTGTGTGCCTGTGTCTATGTCTGTGTAACTAATTTGTTTTCTTTGAAACGCAGACTGGCCTAGAACTCAAGGTCCTCCTGCCTCAGCCTTCTAAAAGCTGAAACTACAAGTAGGAGCCACCATATCCAGATACACCTGCTTCACGTATCAGGTGCCTGTGTATGTTTAATTTGATGAAAGGGACAGAAGCAGGGGTAAAGATATCCAAATGACTGAATTAACTGATCTCCAAGATTCCTCATATAACTCTAGAATTCTAAAACCCTTGCTATAAAGATGAAAATCTTTTCCATAGTTACAGTTTGAATCTGAAGTGTCCCCCCAAAGGGACTTGTGTGCTGAAGACTTTGCTGCCAGCTGATGATGGTTTTGTTCGTTTGTTTGTTTTAGAAGTGACTGGATCATGAGGACTCCGACTTCATTAATGGATTAATCCATTAATAGTTCATAATCTGATGGCATTACTGGAGGTACTACAGATTGAGGAGGGGTCACTGAGTGTGCCACTTTGAAGGGCAAGGCTTATCTTCGGAACTTCCCTGTCTCTCTGCCTCCACTGTGAAGCACATCACAACACTCTACCACAGGCTCCACCATCAGGTTCTGCCTTACAACACACGGGCTCAGAGGCAATACAACCAAGTGTCCAAACCCTGAAATCTCTGAAACTGTAAGCAAAATAAAGTTTTCTTCCTCAAACTGTTTTTCTCAGGTAACTATCGCCGAGAGCAGTCATTACTGCACATACCTTTCTGCAGAGGTGAGTTCTTTTGTTTCTCAGTTGAAGTCTGTACCTCCTTGACAACACTCATGTTCTGCTGATCTGATGGGATGATGGTTGTCAGGTAGTTAAGTGAAGAGAGAAGAGCTTGTGTTTGTAGCAACAAATTCAAAGATGAAAAGGCCACCTGAAAGTGTTTTCAAAAGAAAAACAGTTCTCTTCCACCAGTTGTAACCTGTGGCCTCCACAGTGAACCCTTTGTTTTGTAGCCCTGCTCACCACCACAGGACAGAAAGAAGGAGAGGAAGGTCAACTCCCTGAGCAGGTACTATAGGGAGGGCAAATGACGCCTGCACACTCAAGGGCACAGGGGCAGACCACAGTAACTAATTACTCTATTCCCAAGCCAAAAGGTCATGGGGCCAATAATCTTCTCATGGCCATCCCAAAATTCACACATGTGGCTTCCCAGATCTTCATTGGGTTTATGATTATGTAAAATGCATGAAAAGTAATATGAAACTCTAGAACCATGTGCTACTCTGTCAGACATGACTCCAAATGTGGCATCTGGGAGACTTGAGTTTAAGAGCATAATTTTGAATCCATTCTCAAATATGCGTCAAATGATCTAGAACCACAATAAGGATCTTAGCATTAACAAAGAAGCACAGCATTAAAAAGCACATTTTAAAAATTGACTCTTAAGAACTAAGATGGCAAGACAAATTGTCCATGAATCAGTAGTTTTGAGAACAAATTAAAAATTTGCTTATAGAAACAAAGCCCAATTATTTAAAAAAAAAA